AGTGGTTGTGAATAATAAACATTCATTCATCCTCAAAAACTTACACACTATAATATTAGTACTAAGATTAATTATAATCCTGGCCTACATATGCCTAACTGCAGGGCAAAGGGTTCATTATACCTATTCAGGCTAAAGTTAAGCAAACTAACATTAGCAAGGGTATATAGCGTAATGATTAAATATAAAGTTTAAAACGAAAGAGATTATGATAATAAACTGTTAAATTAAGTACGACTCAAAATAAGGTTAATCACAACATAACCTCATTTTATAATTTAATATCATCGTATAATTTCAGGCATGAGTGAATATAGGCTAATTTTAGGCCAGTTTACTTTCATTGTAGCACCCAACCGTAAGCCCTGAGTCTTTGGATTTAGAACTGGCTGGCACACTCTTTACTTGATTAGTCTAGAAAAGCCATCCAGTTCAATATAAAAAGGTACCACAATAGTATTTTTGTACATGAAGCTTCTAGTAAAAGCGCGTGTTCGTCAACTATTAATAACACGGCGAATGGGTAAGGTAAACGNGCTAATACAGTTCAAGCAAATATCATCATCATCATTTCAGCCACAGGACGTCCACTGCTGAACATAGGCCTCCCGCAATGACTTCCACATCGCACGGCAAGCAAAGATAAATTAGTTCATTTTCAGTGTTAAAACAATAGTTAATTAATAAATTAACTATGATAGAGACGTTCATAGGCGTGAAAATCGTTTTTTCCATTTTATAGAAGTTAAAAATTATTGATAAGTTTTTTGAATTTTTATCCATTTTTTATTTATTTGTATCCCTAAATTCATAAGTGTGGACCAATGTGAAATAGAAAGATGGGAAATTGATTTGTAAGTAAAATGCCAGAGCTGTTTTACTACTAACAATATTCGGATGCGGTTTTTTCCAAATTAAATTATTTTAATTAACAACGAAAGGAAGCCGCGGTATTACACTAGTTAAATAAAACATATACTTTGTACACCACAGACAATAAAGGGGGAGTAGTACGTTTGCCTATCCATTTGCCTGGCTTCAGAAACTTGATATGGCGACTACCCTTGCTGATGTAAAATCAACTGTATTTCAAAAGATTTACAGTTGAAAATGGACGTAGCAGCAGCATAGTTTCTCTCGGAGTACTAAATTGGAGTGGAAATGGGCATAAATTCAATATTTTGCAGACAACAGCTCGTTATAAAGTTCTGTATTGATGTATTTTTTACGTTCGTTAGTATTTTTTTTGTCTGTGGTCGTTGATTGGGCCTGGGAGTCGAATTCGAATTCTATAATAATTAATTGTAGACCACAGATCAGAGAGTATGATGTTGACCCTTTTTAGGGCGCTTATACACGTCCCATTGTAGCTTGCTCTACCACCACTTCGGGACAACATAGTCTGGTGTTGAGAAGAACCTTTATCGATCGATTTCAATCTTCATAAAAGCATTGAATCAATTGAAACAACCACCCACAAGGTGGACCGACGACATCATAAAGGTAGCAGGCAGACTGGACGCAGGCCGCTACCAACCGGACAACATGGAAAGCATTGGGGGAGGCATATATTCGGTAGTGGACGTCCTATGGCTTAGATGATGATGATTGAATAACAAACTTTTACTTTTCATTTCTAAAGGCATAGTGAGGGTTGTAAACTACTACTAAGATCACAACCTCACACAGTTTAACCTCTTTTTGGGTAAAAACTATTATCACGTCAGTCATTAACTGTAACTGTGTAATTTCTAGTAACCCATCTGGGAATCAAACCCATCAAATTGTATTCTAATTTCTATAGCTTTGTTGTTACAGCTATAGAATACAAAGTCACCAACTTTATTGTCTCTGGGACAATGATATTTATGAACACGTCAATACTTTATTAAAAAAATAACAGCGGCCCACCGGCGCGGGCGCAATTAAAATGGGCGTCGTGTGACAGAGACAGTGGGATTTATATTTTAGGGCTCCACAATGAAAATCTATAGGATGGTCATCTCACTCGATTATATTTCGAAACTATACATCTGTACCTCTAGTAGGAAAAACTTTCGAGTTCGTTTCGTTGCGTATTCAAAGTGTCATCGAAAAATTTTGTATGAAAAATTAAACAGCGCCCCCTAGGGCGGCTATAATATAGGGGGCGCTGTTTAATTTTTCATACAAAATTTTTCGATGACACTTTGAATACGCAACGAAACGAACTCGAAAGTTTTTCCTACTAGAGGTACTGGATGTGCTTCGCAAACGCTATCAAACGGATATTATGTTACAGAATAAGTAAACTGGATCTATCCGAAAATTCAATGTTTCCAGCTTCCACACATTTAATATTAAACATTTTTGATAGAGCTCGTGAAGCACTTTCAGGATCAGTAGGATAATAGTTTAGAAATAATCGAGTTAAATCACTTATCGTTTCCATCCTGTATAAACGATACCAATAGAAATTAGAAATTATGGCCAGGTTTCTGAATTAAGATTTCCAGCTTTAGCGTGCTTATCTTCTCAGGATGGACTCCCTTTAATTAACCAGAGGCAAATGATAGATCTGTAGTAATTTGGGTGGTCGTATTCTACTCTGCCAAAATAATATAGCATGATGTTTTACCCAAAAAGAGGTTGAACTGTCTCGGTATCTTTGCAATAAATGATACTTACCTACGTTTTCTCAAATCACCAGATACGTTATTGGGATCTAAGTATGTCTAAGTTAAATTAATGTGTAGGATTTCAATCAATTTAAGCCGTTTCACTAATCAAGTACCTACTAACTAAAGTAGTTAAAGTAATTCTATCCCAAGTCTCTAGCATAAGTCCTTTCGTAGTAAATTAATATCGGAATAAATGTATCTATCCTTCTTTCTATTGATGAACACAGTCACACATGACGAACAGGCTCTTATCTGAACGTTTGGTTTAGATCTTTCGGCAGCCATCTGTCCGACTTACAAAAAAAGGGTTCGTAAACACGTGTGAATGGACAATGTTTAATCTGGTAGAGATTGTTTAAAGATAAGGATATTAGTAATAAGTAAAATAATTTTGAATACCGGAGATTATTTTTTAATTTAAGGTTTTCGCAAGGGATGCTTCGTTCTTTTTGAGCCATATTTATCGCAAGAAAAGCCACGAGCATAAGCCTAGTTTTAACTATAATTAAAGTCTCTACAAATACGTTAAATTCATGTACATTTGATAACTGAATGTTAATGGCATTTCAACTAATGAAAACATTAAAATTTAATTTCAGTGCTTTCTTTATTTTCATTAGTTCCTATAATTTGACTCTACATACTGATACTGTTGCTATACAGGTTGTTTTAAAGTTAAGGTTCAAGAAATTACTATACAAAAAAAGTGTTCATTGTTCCTCTCAATTCGTATCAATACGAATATTGTAAGTAAGCTTTTAAAAAGTGTCACTGAGCTTCTATTGTAGTTAAAAAGTTCTCGGGGGTAGTTTACATTGTCCCGAAGCAAAAGTAGGGTTAAACTAAGAACTTGACTCCATTATTGGGACGTACAAAAGCACTTTTTCATTAGATAAATAAAAAAACGAATTATAATGGCTCTATTCAGATGATAATAATATGATGATCGAAAATGTAATAATTTATTATTGCTGTTTCAATGTTAGCCTTTATTGTGGCTGATTCACCCTGTATGACTAAAATATTCGATTATTATGACATCGAATTCGCTTGTGCAAACCGAAAACAATTGCCATCGCTGAGTCGAAACAAAAGAACACGGTCACATCGACTGAAGCCGTGTCAGCGGTTTGACACGCTGACAGTGTCGGGTGTCACGCTGACATCGCGGTACTGTGTTGTGGAGAGACTGTAAACTTGGAGTTTTTATGAAATGACCAAGAATAAGAACTATGGTTGATTGATGCCCGTTTTCACCATCAATGCTTAATTTTTAAGTGACCCCTATATGGTAACACATTACAGGGTTTAAATAAATAAAGGCGAAGTTGCACCATATTATTACTTCAACTTTAACAAACGTCAAAATCTATCAAACTCCATACAATCCTCCTCCATATACTCCGTAAAACACCAGTTATCGTTATAGTTAAAGTTAGGTGTTGCAACCCAGCCTTAGACTTTTTTGAAATGGCCAAGAATTTTCAAGCACCTAGACATTTTCTTGTGATTTATTTTGTTGCGGGTCCAATAGCTAAATCGTTTGCCTTTCCCCTGGGAAAAAGTGGTCGTCAAGCTGTAGATCCTAGCCACACAGGAGATCTAGGTACTGCCCTACCTACCTTTAAATGAAATTAATAATATCTAGGTACTCTCTTTTCTTCCCATCAGGTGTTACCACGGTGTAGAACAACTAATGAACGATACAAAAGAAGATCCCCCGAACTCAGAGGGCATATTTAGAGCATTAACAAGGTGAGTCACTCTTTATTTTATAAAACATCGATTACTTTTCAAACAATCAAATCTAAATTAACTGTTAACTGATAAAGCTAAGCTGGATATTTAATAATTCCCTGAACCTTATTTTTAGTAAATAGGCGTAGTATTGTATTGACATTGCTACTAGTCGACAACTGTCATCATAATTAACTTATTCTTCAACTAAAAGTTAACTAAAGTTGAATTTGGCCAGTAAAATAACTAGCAGATATCATTAGAATATTGTGCGAAACATAATATCCTAACTAGAGAACGGTACTTTTCAAGATTAGACCAACTTCATAAATAACTGCAACACGGACGAAGTGTTATTGCATTTTTTGAATCAAAATAAAGCAATGTACTCGTACCTACTAATAAGTAACTGTAAAATGTTTTTAAAATACGCAAACATGTAGGTTTTGTTCAACTAGACGTAGCGTTTGGATTTGCCTGTCTACTTAAAAATTACTTTATGAAACTAGGGTTAACGCCACAGATTTATGAACCAAAGATAAATCTGAATTTTGCTTGTCTTTTTGACAACAAATTAACTAATTAATTAATGCATAATTACACTCACCTGTCTTTGTGTTCTGCTTGCCGATCCCTTTGCCGTCTGTTTTTGAACCAATTTGAAACCTGTAAACGTAAAAGTTATATCAATTTGTTAAGACGTAACCATTAGACCTGCTTTATTCACTAAGGAAATAAAGACCCATTTTTAAAGCTATTTTGACCATTTTTCATCGTCAGGAAACCATTAAGACCTAAAGCTAATATGAAATTACTTTCAAAACTCGATTCAAACTCAAATGACTTTCAAGACTTTGTCTGATATTGAATCGATAGTTTGTTTCGTTCGTTCGTTTCAGCCAGTTGACGTCCACTACTAGACAAAGGCCTCCCCCAAGGATTTCCATAACGATGCGTCCTGCACTGCCCGCATCCAGTTATGTTTACATATTTTTAACTAGCGGCCGCCCACGACTTCGTACGCGTGGATTCCGTTTTACCCCCTTAGGGGTGGAGTTTCGTAAAATCCTTTCTTAGCGGATGCCTACGTCATAACATCAACCTGCATGCCAAATTTCAGCCCGATCCGTCCAGTGGTTTGGGCTGTGCGTAGATTTCTATACTTATTTAGATCATGGCTGAAATTAAACAGTCTTTAATAGGACTCTATTTGACTTTTTATGTAACACCTAAGAATCTTAAGACATATAGCATCTCTGAATCGGTCATTGTCAAGTCACAGTAAGCTATGTACTATGTACATATGTATGTCATCAGCAGTCGAGCAGATCTGCGGTGGACACCCGACACTGCTTCCCGGCCAGTGTCGGGTTGCGGCGAGAAAAAATATTTATCCATACTTAATTATCGAGATTCATTACTTTGGAAGCTTTGGTAGGAGGATTTCACTTCCAAAATTGTGTAGAGAAGAGACGGTATTTAATTAAGTGAAATGTTTAACTCTACATAAAGCAAGTAGCCTCATCTGTCTGTAGGTTTATTATATTCTCGCTTAAACCTTTTAAAAACATCAATAGATTCTGATAGTGATTCAAGACTTGAGTTGATTTTAGGTACGTATAAATTGGTTGAAATACAAACGCCAAAGTCAAAATCTGCCTATTCATCTTCAGATTTAATGAATAACATTTTTAATATTAGTATTTTTGTTACTAATTTCAAGCTAAATGACCAAAAAGCGTGCAATGGCCACAACTGGGGGTCTCTGATGCTCTTTTTCCTTTGCACTAAACTTCGCTCCCTACAATTTTTTCTACTCCTTGTTTTTCCTTATCAACTCCTTAGTTACTTATGGTGGAAACCTTAGGCTTTGGACATTGTTGTATTATTAGTGTAATTGTAAGCTGTTTGTTTTCAATAAATAAACTCGCTTACCTGAACAGTAGTGAGTCCCGTAGTCTCGGCCAGTTCCCGTTTTTCCCGGGGTGAAGGATAGGGATTGTGGAGGTACCAGTCCCGGAGAACTGACCGGGACTTTTCCTGGAAGAAGTTTAGAGTGAATACACTGGTTTTAATTGATAACTTGCAATACTCATTAGGCTCCCAAAAGAAACATTTGCTCAATACAATAACATAACCGATTCTAACACATTTCATAAAGTCTCAAACCAAAACTATATCGAAATCGGTTGATCTATTTGGAAGCAACGATGCTACAGATTTACACATCAAACTTATAGGTAACCCTTCTATAAAGGAAACCAAACGCGTTGAATAACACATCAGACTAATACATTTTTGTTAAAAAACCTTATATTTTAAAACTTCAAAAGGTGCCACAGTGAACTTGCTATTGCTATGCTGTCGCCAATACAGTTAGTTTAGCTAATTTTAAGGAAATGGCATTATTTAATTCCCACCCAACTGACCCAAGGCATTTTGAACCAGCAAAACTTCAAGTAGTATCCCTATGGATAGTAAATATTTACCTTAAAACAATAAGAGGTCTCCTCGCCGTCCCATATGGTCCGGGGCAGTGGGAACTTGCGCCGGACTCGGTACTTGCCGACCGCTCCTAGCGGCCGCCCGCGTAACCGCTCCGCTTCTAGGTAGTGTGCTGTGGACAAATATTACGGTTAGAGGTGTTTAAAATGCAACCGTTACTGATTTATCCATATAAACTATCGAATGGATTGCGCTAAGAAACGCAGACAGTAAACAATCGGATATATCTACGTTAAGAAATAATTTCAAGGTCATGGATCCCATGGAAAAGTGGGATCATAGTTTGTATGTGTATCGAAAGCCAAACTGACTGAGCCATGTTTGGAAGCTGCTTCCAAAGATTATGTATTACCTACCGCTCGCAGATTTGATGACTTCCAGCCTTCTTAACAAGCTGGTTTCCGCTTGAGTTTAAAGCCAAAGGACATCTACTGACTGGAAAAAGGCCTCTCACAATGACTGTTCTTGCGCTTCAGGTGCTTCCCGCGACCTACACTACATCGTCAGTCCACCGAGTTAGAAGGCTGCCACCATTGCGTTTGCCACTCTATAACTGCTCTACCCCAATGACCCTCATTCTTCGAGCTGCTCCACTCACCCTTGAGCTTGGCGTGGTTGTGCGCGACCATGACCTACACTACATCTTCTCTCCATAAGTTGGCGGACTACGTTTTCCAGTCCGTAGTCGCCACTCTAGAACTGTTCAGCCCCAACGACCCTCAATTCTCCAAGCTGCCCCACTCACCCTTAAGCCACAGGCTCTGCAGCTTGGCGTGGATGCAAATGTCTTACTCCAACTTAAGGTGGCGATCAAGCTGTAGATCCTGGCTACCTAGAAGACACCAGTGGAATCGAGAGCTACAAATAGTCCAGTTACTCCAAGTTACATAGGATTTTGTGCATTACCTTTGAGCCACAGGCTCTGCAGCTTGGCGTGATTATGCGCGCTGAAGGTGTGCGACTCCTCCTTCAAAATCAAAATCCTTCAGCACCGACTCGTGCGCGTGCAGCGACCAGAGGGACAGTTGCCCGCTGGCTTCGAAAAGGCAAAACCTAGCTGGAGAATACAAACCCCTCTTACTAGAAACTGAGTCTTTCTTTACGAATCATTCCGCTGGCAGATTTGACGGCTTCCAGAGAGAGAGAGAGAGAGCCGCTCGCACGCTTGTAGCGTTCAGAAGAACGTGTTGTCCGCTTGTTTCTTCAAAGAAGGCGACAAAATCTTGCTCAAGAAATACAGACCTATCTTATTTCCAAGCCATGTCTTCAAGCTGTTTTCGAAAGTCATAGGAATCGTCCCACTCGCAAGCTTGATGACTCACCCTTGAGCCACAGGCTCTGCAGCTTGGCGTGGTTGTGCGCGCTGAAGGTGTGCGACTCCAGCAGCCGGTACAGCTCCTTGAAGTTGCCGCGGTGGAAGGCTACCATGGCCTTGGCCTTCAGCACCGACTCGTGCGCGTGGAGTCGCTCGCACGCCGGCAGCGACCAGAGGAAGCGGCCGAGGCGCTCGATGTTGCCGGCTTGTTGGAGGACCTGTAAAATAACTGATTTAGTCCTGGATTCTATAGGTTCTAAACTAAGAAAGTGAAAACATTGCTATGAGACATGTTACGAGGATCTGTATTTATTTATTTATAGAAACTAACAGCGATACTTTGAAAATGTTAGTTATAAGATTTAGACTGATACTATATAGCCAATGACAGGTATAACTGGACCATTCCCATTTCTTGTTCCCAAAACTGTAACTTCTGTGTAGTCAGCCTGGATCTACAGCTTGACCGATAATTTTATTAAAACCCAACCAGTGAAGCTCAAGTTTGTCCTGGAGGAAAGAAGTTGAATTTATCATTGGACCCGTAATGAAGTTAATCAGAAGAACATAGGAGGAGTTTAAAGTTAAGGTTCACCTTCCCTCTAGGGCAAAGCAGAAGACAAACAAAGATTTAGTAGTAACCCTTAAGAAAGATATACACCACGGACAGTAATTATCTTGTGAATTACTAGCTACAGTTACCTACTAGCTAGGTATCTGTCAATAATATTTTTTACAAAATCGCTTAAAATCTATGAAAACTACGCAGGCAATTAAAAGTTGTTGCTGAATGTAGTATGGCAATGGCACTTGATAATTTAATTTACAACACACTCAATGAATAAAGAAATAAATCGAAATAAACTGGAATAACTAATAAAATGGAACTAATAAACCGGAGGATTGGGTATAAAACAAACGCAGGAAGAGCTGCGGGTAAAGGATAATAGTGTATAGTTGTGAGCTGAAGTGATTTATTACTACTTATTATAATATGACCACATGAAGCAATAAAGATATTATGATTATGATTATTACTAGCTTTCCGCCCGCGGCTTCGCCCGCGTGGAATTTTGTCTGTCACAGAAAAACTTTATCGCGCGCGTCCCTGTTTCAAAAACCGGGATAAAAACTATCCTATGTTCTTTCCCGGGACTCAAACTATCTCTATGCCAAATTTCATCAAAATCGGTTGCGAGGTTTAAGCGGGAAAGCGTAACAGACAGACAGACAGACAGACAGACAGAGTTACTTTCGCATTTATAATATTAGTTGGGGTTTGATTTATAGCACTATCTGTTTTAGCAAAAAGCTGTCCTGTCTCTCTATGCCCTCTCTAAACCCTTATTAAGCCGAAATGAGGTCGCTGTTGACTCAGCGTATTGACTTAGGACACCGGACGCGCCGCAGACGGACATGTGCGAATCCTGCGCCAGCGCAGCCCACCAGGGCGATGCGTTTTTGTTTCTGCGCCCGCGAGTTTGCTACCTATTAGGTCAATAACATTCAGTTTGGTAGGTTTGAGGATTGCACACTATGAAAAACTGAACTAATTTATCACTAAAAAAACGGTCCAGCGATGCGTTTTTGTTTCTGCGCCTGAAACTTTGCTACCTATAGGTTGATAATACACTGTGGAGTGGATTTGAGGTTTACTTCTACACCATCATTAGCCACGATCATATTTTGAAGCCACGATAGGGGTCGGACTAGCCGACTCGGGATTCAAGGAACGCGGGATCGTAACACAAGCATTTAGCTTACCACGAGGGGCTAACGGGAGTATTAGTAATTTGTGCAAAAACAAATTACTAAATAACCTTTAAGTAGGTACCTATAGATATCGAATTAACTGTTTGAAACAATTAACGTATTATTACTTACTCTACCACATTCTGCGACTTATAGCTGATAGAAAAGACTGTCCCTTTATGACGCGGTAGGTTTGGCTGAGGTGTTGTAAATTTTAATGTGACTTAAAATTTGATTATCGCTAACAATTGACTTTTAGCCTGCTTTTAGGCACTCTGCTCTTTTTTTTGCAATTTACCAAACTTGACCTTCACTAGTTCACTGGTTGGGTTTTTATTGGCGGTCAAGCTGTAGATCCTGGCTACACAGGAGTTGCAGCGGTGGGAACGAGAGGTGGGAATAGTCCCGTTTTCAATTTAGACCCAAGCTCTTCATGCATTGAGTCACAGTCAAATCATTTTGATTTGACTGTGACTCACAAGTCAACATTATCGAAATTACCACTGTTTCGACTACATTACCAATGTCTCTTTGCAATTGGCGATTTGCAACAAAATTGCTTATTTTACTAACAACTTAATATTGAAAATTATAACCCTAACCAAAAGGTGCATCCATTACAAGGTTTCCAAATTATATTATGCAAATATGTAGAGCCCCTGCTTTTGCGAGTAGTGTTACCGTACTTCCCGATAATACTCGGACTTTGAGCTCTCCTTTCTTCTCTCCTGTGACTTTTTAGTATGAACTAGCCGCCGCCCGCGACTTCGTACGCGTGGATCCCGTTTTACCCCCTTCATCTATCTGACGCGGTTTAGATTTTTTCATACAAATTTTTTTTCCCGCTAACTCCCGTTCCCGTGGGAATTTTGCAATATCTTGTTGTAACTAAGCTTTAAGTTTACTAAGGTGCCTGCATGCCAAATTTCAAGCGTCTAATTTAAGCGGTTTAGATTTTTCTTACAAAAGGATTTTCCCGCTAATTCCCGTTCCCGTGGGAATTCCTAAGTATACCTGCCCAGGAATATGAAGAATAATTGTAGGTACCAAGTTTCGTTAAAATCCGTCGAGTAGTTTTTGTTTCTATAAGGAACATACAGACAGACAAAAATTTTACTGATTGCATTTTTGGCATCAGTATTGATCACTAATCACCCCCTGATAGTTATTTTGTAAATATATTTCATGTACAGAATTGACCTCTACAGATTTATTATAAGTATACGACTAGTTTTGTATTCCGGACTTTTATTAACAACACTCTTAAAATAACAAATTACACACCCAATCTGACCCTACAAATAAGTGTAATCGATTTTTACAATAACAATACACGTCGCAAATATAACTTGCCCTACCATATCTCGGGTCCACAAGGCTTAAATATTTTTAAGATCTAACTATACTTACATACATAATACAATTTACAAAATCTATTAAACCTCAATTTTAATCTGTTTTTCGTCTTGAATAAATAAATGTTTTATTGAATTTACTGTGGATTAGTTAAATACAGTCATTTTACATCAAACTCTAGCTCTACTTACAACCAACATCTTTTATTTTAGAACCATTTTTCTTATTCCTATCTGAATGTCAAAAAAGCCAATTTGTCAGAAAAGTCTCCTAACTACAAAAAAGTTGCTAAACCTACATGTAAGGGGAAATAATGGTGAATATAATGAAGTAAGTACGATATCCGATACAAGCTATTATTTGTTAAAAGTATAGCAAGTTTATTCATTGGATGCGCCCTGTAATTTTGGCGATCGGTACCTTTTAGTTAAAGTAATTTGTTACTCGCACGTGTCAAGGTGGAGATGGTTAGTTAGTTGAACTTGTAGGTTGGTTTTTCGATAAAGAACTCATAATTATTTGACATTAACCCTGCCTCTGCTGCTTCAGAAAAATATGTGGGTGGTAAAAAGGGTCTGAGTTTTCTCAGATCAGAGTTCAGAGTTATCCCGGAGTGTAGAGCAAACTATATTTTAGTTTAAAGTGCCCTGAAAAGGGTCTACATGCTAATAAATACGTAATTTGTATTTTTACTATTCAGAGAAAAAAAAAAGTTAAACAATTTACAAAAAAAGACGAATTTTACGCCCGTATTCACAAACGATGCTTGCAAACGAGCAGCAAATCGAACGCACTGCGATGAATAGAGCTGTGTGATTGGATCGTGTGTCACCCTGTGCGTCCACGCGCACTTTGAGACCTCATAGTAATGTTAATTACGGGCATTAATTACGCACGAATTTTTTTTTCCAAATTTATTTTACTGTTTAATTTTTACTGTTTAATAGGTATACATATGTATTATGTACTTCCACAAAATTACAGCTCCCCAGTGCCAACAGTTTCCATGCAAAACCTCGGACAGACAGACAGACAGACATATCGAAACTATAAGGGTTCCTTGTCAGGACTACGGAACCCTATAAAAAGGGTAGTCTGATGTTCTGTCGACTATTAGACTAAGTCATAGGGTAAAATAATGAATACTCACTAAAGCATCCACTAATCCTATAAACACTCAGAACCATGACGATCACCATTGTTAAGTTGTGACCCATTATTGTCACTACACCCCACACCACTTAGGGAACCATACTAGGGGCTGGCAAATTTAATTTAAAAAGTGCCTAGTTCGCAATACCGCCCGTTTTCACCATCAATCCCTAATTTTTAAGTGACCCCTATGAAAACAAAATTCCAGTTACGTGTTTACCATAGGGGTCACTTAAAAAATAGGGATTGATGGTGAAACCTGGCATTATTTTTTTTAAATTACCCCCTGAAAGAAGAAGCTACATAAAACACAAGTTTCTTTAAAGCCTTCAACTCGGAGGCTTAGTTAATTCCTAGCTGGGACACCAAATACATCTTTTAGATTGTGATTCAATGTTTTAAAAGACATATTGGTTTAAATTAACCTGATAAAGAGATATGAGTCCATATCTCATAACAAGACCTAATTCATTGTTTTTGTACCTTAAAACAACGTAGATCAAGTTCTAAATATGGTGGGAACTACATTCCCACTGCCGTATAAAGGGTTAAGTCATCATCATCAACCGCCTCTGTGGTCTAGTGGTAAGACCACCTGCTTCAGACGCAGAGGTCCCGGGTTTGATTCCCAGTGGGGGCAGATTTTTCTGTTCGGTTTGGTTGGTGGTAGCCTGGTAGGGCTTGTTCTAAGTCCGCCTGGCTAGCTACCACCATCTTACCTAAGTCTGTCGCCATAACAACAATGTTAACAGCATTATTGTGTTCCAGCAGTTAGAGGTAAGATAGCCAGTTCCTCCGTGGTTGAGGATTCCGGATGAAGCTCGCTTCCACCTTCGGCCTGACCGTCACTTACCATCAGGTGAGATACAGGCCAAGAGCTTCGTTTCGTTGTGGATAAAAACAAACTTGGTCAGATAAATAAATTTTATGAACCACAGAACCTTAAGAGGTGGTTATCATCGCCACCAAAAGAAGTCAATCCTGTCAGCATCCCATAATACCCATTATTTTCACCCCGCACCAATTTGAAACCCACACCATGACGGTTGCAGATCCAATTTGGGAGGGATTACGAATCATCCCAATTACAATAACAAATACGTTTTAAAATAAAGTTTGGTTTGTTTATTGAAATAATGCTTATTGTAGAGTTTTCGTATTTGAACTAAAGTAAAAGCAGAACTAAATACTTATTACTATTTTTTTTTTGTATTTTGGAGAGATCTATTAGAATTGCATCTAACAAAATAAGAACTGAAATGTAACGTGATTATTAAACCGGGTGCAGACGGTTGTAACGTGTAATGCAATGGAAATAGTATGGGCAGCATTTTATATGTAATGCTCGTAGTGCTGTCCACACATAGAATTCGTGTAACATTCTGGACCAGGCTTTATTGACATCTTTGATTAGATAATGTTTGGTATAGAGATAATTTGAATCCTAGGGAAATACATAGGATAGTTTTTATCCTAGTATTTGAAAGTAGTCTTTTTGTGAAAGTATTACACAAGACAAAATCTAGCTGATTACCTATTTATTAAAATAAGTAAAAATATAAAATTAAAAATGTTGAAAAACTTGAGTTTCTTGCGCTGCTTCCTCTCAGCCCTGGCCCATTTATTGTCCCAAAGCGGTGGAAGCTTAAAGTAATAGGCACGTGTAAAAGCGCTTTTTAAAAGCCTATTTCGTGAAAATAAATAACTTTTTTTATGACAACACCGCGTCGATATATTTTTCTCTCTCTCAAGTCAACGACTTGGTTTTCACGTAGAGTCTGCGGTGCGTAACCTTGACAACCAATACAAGTCGGTTGCCAACCGGATATCCGGTTACGGAGGGTGTGGTGGATGGGCAAACAACTTTGATGGTGTAGGGCGAACCATGAATTACGGGGATCTCCCAGGACAGAGTGTAATCGACACCTATTCCATAACCTTACTTTAATTACTACTAATCTTATTATCTTCTCTCGCGTAAACCTGAGTCTAAACTAAATTTGTCACCAACTCTGTCAATACCATTATTTATAAACTACTTCGTGAATAGAGTCCGGTTCCCTTTGAAGACAGTGATTCTTTTAAGCACTGGACAACATTATTGTCCCCGAAGCACAGTGAGGGTAAAAACCGGCCAACACGAATCAAAAACAAGAAGGGTAATATCATCTTTTACAAGACCACTTTTATCTTAACAGTTTAGTAAGTAAATCGAACAAAAAAACACGTGTCTTGTATGGTCCATCTATACTTAATATTATAAAGCTGAAGAGATTGTTTGAACGCGTGAATCTCAGGAACTACAGATCCGATTTGAAAAAATATTTTTGTATTGGATAGCCCATTTATCGAGGAAGGCTTTAGGCTTTATAACATCACTCTACAAGAAGAAGAGCAGTAACGAAAAAGGTTGCAAAAACGGGAAATATTATTCAAACTATTTTGACGCGTACGAAGTCGCGGGCATAACTCGATTATAAGATTGAACGTGCCTTTACTCGTATTCTTGCAAACACTTTAGTGGTCTCCTCAAGTCAACTTTTAGGCTAAGTAGAAATCAGAATAGATGGAAGATATCCCTACTTTTTTTTAAGAGTAGCTTTTAGTTTTTGGAAGAGAAAAGTTTACGTACATCGTAAACTTCTCTCGTTTTTTGAAGATTGAATGGATTTTGAAGAAGGTCACGGTCACATTGTTTTTTTGTTCGACAGAACCTCTCTGGGCAAAATCTTGTGTTCTATTAAGTATATTTTGATAAAATTTATTGGTTTTTGATACACTGAGGTAATCGTTTTAAAATTGCATAATCAACACTGTAAAAACCAAAAACCGTTAATGGATCCGGTCACCAAGACAACCGGATATGGATATTTACCCTCAACCTGGAGGGCATATCCGGTTTACGGGGCGGGGCCTAGTTGAGGGTGTGGTGGGGGTGTTAGAATAGGTACAGAACAGCTTGTCAAGGTAACTGTGGCTTGTGTAGTTGGAATAAACGCTATTTTTCAACAAAAAATGGGTAGTTTGATGATTTTCGCTGAATATTACTCCACTTATGAGAAGCTAAACTAGTTTTTTATTAATTGCTAAAGTTAAAGTTAAAGTTGGTTTGTAAGAAACAAAAATAGTGAAATAGTGATTGAGTTTCTTGCGCTTCTCAGCACTGGCCCATTTATTGTCCCGAAGCAGTGGCAGGGTTAATACTGGGACGTGAAAAAGTGTTTTTAAAAGCCTAAAAATATGAAATGAAATGAAATTATTTATTTGCAGAATGTGGTTACATACAATAATTAATAAATGAGTTTTATAAATTTGACAGCCAGGCCTGGTAGTTCGCGTAATCAGACTGTGTCAGAGGTTACCGATTCGATTGTTCACGCCTGCAACATCCTAATTATTTAATGTAGCTTTCACTGGTTGGGTTTTATTGGCGGTCAAGCTGTAGATCCTGGCTACACAGGAGTTGCAGCGGCGGGAACGAGAGCTGCAAATAATTACTGAATATTCTTACCAAACAGAAGATGAATTTACAACTTATATTATGTCCCATTGAGAACAATAAATTTCAGATGAACAGAGTCAAGTCAACCCACAAGATGGACCGACGACAGGCCACTACCAACCGGACAACATATGGAAAGCACTGAGGCCTATGTTCAGCAGTGGACGTCCTATAGCTGAATGATGATGATAATGAAGAGAGTCAATAGCTCAGTTTCTGAAGTGAGATTTCCAGTTTTTGCATGCCCATCTTAGAAGATGTATAGAACATTTCATATTCAATTAGACCTAAGGATTAATTTAATATGAAAAGTGCATTACTACTATTAGAGGCCGGTAGATCTATTCTCATAAATAAAACACTGGATACTCAACTTTCACATTACATTGCCTTATTTTAGATACAATTCATCACTTAGCACAAAAGCGCACGGAGTCGGCATCTCATTGGCCACAACGATACCGTTAATTTAACGTTTTAGATTTTTCATAATTAACACTAAGTTACCTACATTAAGAAAATTAGCACTCTCAAGCCTAAAATCTCAATTGTGAAACCGAGCCTAACTAATAACTAAACCTAGAAGGCAATAACGAGTAAATTCAGTGAATTAGGTAAAACAATAATTAATTTAAACCGCTCATTCATTACTTAAAATATACCTACTTATTCGTCCGGTCGTTGTTTACTACTACAGCAGAATCCTACCCAAAATAGATTGCGATTCGAAGAATGTTTGTATCGGCAGCAATAACATTAAGTAGATACCTACCCATATTACGTACTAGCTATTTGTAAAAAAAGGTCCGGAGATTCTATGAAATTAAATATGTCTTTAACATTTCAGTAGGCACCTAGGTATATTACGTAGCTATGTGTGAAAAAGCTCCGGGGATTCTATGAAATATAATTTAATTTTGTAAAAAATGTCCTATAGTAATTTTGTTTAACTTTTCTCTCGAAACCATGAGATGGCAATTGAAAAATTGCGTATAGAACAATAATAAATTGGTATTTCCAGAGTATATTGTTACCATATTATCAAGTATTAAGATGTTAGTACACCACTTTAAAATTAAAAATAATAATTCCTTCATTTCCGTTTCCTTAAAAAACATAATTTAAAGGAACCTGTCATCAGACCCAAACCATAAACAATAAGGCACGTCATACACATCACAGATAATCGGGCCACTCACCTCGCAGACACACGCGACTTGCTCCTGTGTGAAGCCAAAACTCGGCAGGGGGGCATCTCTAGGTGGGGTGGCCTCCCGCTGTCCCCACTCAGGGCCCCCCAGCATGTCCAAATGCTCGTCTCCAGCCACTTTGACACCACAACTTAACTGGTAACACTAAAACTTCACGCGGAAAATCGTGCGCGTATTACCGCTAGTAGCACGCTTTAATTTTCGTTCCTAATTTGAATTTTCGAATTTGAACACAGAACGGAACGGTATTTAAATAATGGTAGTCTTTACGGTAAATGCGTTCGAGTTTTGTTTATTCTTTCACTGTCTTGTTTTTAAAATCCTCTTTAGAGGCAGCTAAATAAACAACCGAAGGCAGCAGTCCCAAAATGTTTAAACAAAAGCAATCATTTAAACTTCGATTACTTATTTGCGTTCGGAATTTGAAAAGGGCCGTTTATTTTTTAAAGTAAGTTGTTTTTATGGTACACACCGACGGGTTTTACTTTTTTTGTATTTGAAATTCACTTGAAAACACCCAGTCTCTATCTGGCAGGCCACAGACGTGATAAAGTTTTTGACATAAATGCTTTTTGGATACAATTTTAGTTTTTTATTTATGTTTTATTCTTTGTTTTCTCTTCTTTCTCATTTTAATTGAGTTTTTGGAGTGGTTGTATCTGAAACAAAAGAGAATATGTTTAGTAGAGTTTATTATTAGGAGCACACACGTCTTCACCCAATATTTTGCAAATGAGGTTCAACTTCTTGACTAAATTAATAAGTAGCAATTCTATTAATTAATATGTCGGCGCCGGACACAGATGCTGCAAATTGTTATTGATGATTAATAGTACCAATCTTAATATTATGTTATCTGTATAAATCTGTAGAGCGGAAGGTTTGTGATTCCTAAACGTAACACCCGACTGATGCGCAGAAAAAGATAACTGTCAATCAGTTGTGTCATGTCAAGTGTGAGCAGGCGGCTGCGAGGTTATCTTTGAAAGCGTATTGAGTTTGGTGGAACGTTAAATTGTAGGAAAAGTGGTTGTCAACCATCCAAGATATTATCTCCTTTCCCGTTAACCCACGCCAATGGAGATTCCACCCCTAGAGTTCCTTCTGATAGAGACCCAGTGCCTTTAAATAATTTAATCGGGAATCATAATGACTCCATAATTTTTAACATTGGTGGTTAAGCTATTGACTGTCTAGTTCTGCCTTAAAAGTAGCTTTATTGCAAAACTTAGAAACTTTTCCAGCGATTTTCCAGTTATAAGTAGTCTATAATGATATTCAACTAATCGCATTGCCTATTGTATCTTCATTAATCTTGAAACAACAACTACTAGATCGCATATTTGGAGAGTAAGTAGCATCTGGAATAATTTCAATTACCCTACCAAACCTTAACTATAAACAAATTAAACACCGAGATCAAAAATCTAAAGCTCCTCCATCTGTCACTGAGATGAATGCTTATTGTCACGTATTGTTGTCAACCCGAAAATTCTTAACACCTCGCTCGCCGCACCGATTATTTTTAGAAAAAAAATTTGGGGACACATTAAATCAATTTCCCACAATCGCACGACGAATCTCTAAAACGGTCGCCACCATCAATTATCCATATTTTTATCACACAAAATAATGTCACGTACGTACACATTACTCAGACAAAGGCTTACAATTTCGAGAAACAATTCAAAAGTCATCGTGAAACGTTAAAACAAGGAACCACGGTTGTCCCTTTCTATTCTAACGCGTTTGGTGAGGTGCGAAAGAGACGGGGCAGTCTCTTGGGGGCAAAATGTTAAACGTTTGGTGTTTTAAGTAATTTTTATCGTCGACACGATCGTGAGGACCCTGCTGATATATGGAGCTGACGGGCGCCAGTGATGTTCTGAAGTCGATATTTTTTTAAGGACACTGTGGGAATAAAATGGACGGTTTATTTTTTAGGATCACACTGTAGCCAGTAGCATAATTATTGTGTAGTCTAGTAGGGCAAATAAAGACATATTGTAGGTACAACTTGTCCCACTGCTAGTTAATTTATGGTCTTCCTTAGCCCCTTTACAACTATCCTAAACTTGGATTCCAGATTCTCTTAATAAGCATACCTACGTATTAATTGTTCATTATCACTCATAATTATTATCCCGAGGAGTGTGAAATCGAAGAACATAATAGTTTCACTGACATTCCTAAATGTCAAAGCTAAAGACAGATGTAGAGTCGCACGAAATAAAATGAAAAGTTTAGCTAAAAGAACTTGCTCGCCTTTTTTTATAAAAATCAAACCAAAGAGCTTGATGTTGTACAAATATTTTTGTGTAAAATAAAGCTAGCTTTATCTAAAAAATAAATACTTTTACACGAAAATTCGGTCATTATAAATCATATCAGAAATGAATAACAATTGCAATTTACTATCAAATCGCATGCCAAATATTCGACACGCTGAATCCTACAAGAAATAAGTCTTATAACTTTAAGTGCGTGTATTTTGGCTCGTACAGTTTTGTAACTGGGCTAATTTAAAATGGGGATCGTTGAGGAAGAAATGTTTTGTCACGAATTGGACATCGTCCAAGTGTGCGTCGTTATTCAAACGAACGCGTTAATGTCACATCCTTTTGTGATGTCTTTTTTTAAGAAACACCGGATTTGTAGTTATATCAGGGAATTACTTCATCGTTATCAACATCAGGCTATTGTTTCCATTGCAGGACACACCAGCCTATCCAATTAGTCCTATGAAACTATTGTGCATTCATAACTTTTGCTTATTAACTGGCCTTTATTGTTTAGTCTTTCTATGCTTTTTATAATTTGTGTAATTTTCGCTCAGGAGGCACTAAGAACCTAAGATCACATACTTATATTGACAAGTAAAGTTCAAGTTTTTTAAATCACTTCCATCTCCGCGTAAAGCTTATGACTTACGCTCCGAAACTTTTCTCAGCCATAAATTGCATTTCTTTTTTTAAACCGACATGGTTCCAAATCTTGTTCATCTAAATTCTAGCCACATTTTTGTCTTACATTCGAACTCTACACACACGTATCATACAATCTACGTCACTATGACTCATATTCGCCGAACTGAACTAGTAATGCATTTTGCATTCATAAAAATAGCATACATTTAATAAACACCAGTCTTGGACTGTGATCTAAAGTTCTAAATTCAAATTACATCGATATAAGCCCCATCACTAGCGCCCCACGTGGCGTCCGCGATCCTTATCAGGCAGCACCGGCTGTAAAACACAAGATTTATCGACAGATTACCACGGCGCGATACCGGTACAAATCACCTCACTATTACCGATTTGTACGCTGATACTGAGGTTGGGGAAATAAAGTAAAATCCAATATTTATTGGAACTAATAAATTGATATTGAATCATAAAACAATGGTTGGGTCAAAATGTAATTTCTAATCGGGTCAAATCAATGAAAGCAGAATTTTTTCACAACTTTTTTAGGATAAAAGTTAACCCCTCTTATGCTTAGGCTAAATGGATGCTTGGGAGTATGTTCACCAATAGTCCAGAGTCAACAGGGTTCGAAGTTCGAACTACTGAATCTCGAAGAGGCATTACCTACATGCGACACCGTTGCGTTGGGCTATTGTTGCTTCTTATCAATTCTTCTTCTCATTATCTCACATCATCTTGTGGATACCTATCCACATTTAAATACCTATTTAAAACTAGAATAACGAGATATTATCGTTGGATTTGAATGAAATTTTGGACTAGTCTAATCTTTGCAGACTCCTCAGAGCATTCGACCAGGATTCCGTCTCCTTGGATTCCAGTTGCATTTACAATAAACAATTCCACTTTTTAATTTTGCCTTAACGCTGCCAGGATATGAAAGAGAAAATGTTATTGGATTTGTTTTATAATTCTGAAAAATAATTATTTGTTAAGGCCGCTGATTTTCTTTCTGCTCGCACAATTAACATTTTTGCCAACCTATCCGGTAAAACTATTTCAAATGTGTTACCTATTATGATTGTTTTACAAAAAAGTGAGTTGACTCTACATAATAAATGGTCTGTAAAAGTGGCCCATTACTTTTAACGAAATATTTTTTAAAAGCAATCTGTCCGTCTACATTCATCTGGTAGCGAGACACTCCATTGCCTCCAACTACGTTTGTAAACACTGTCCATGTTCATTCATTAAAAAAACTTTCAAAATTATTTCTAATTTATTATGAAAGTGGGAGTTTTGAAGATCACCAATAATTAAACTTACATTTTACTAATAACTATCTAGTTTGGATCTACCTCCAGTTGCCAGTTTCCCACAACTGCAACTCCTGTATAGTCTGGTTCTACTGCTTGGCTACCAATAAAACCCATCCAGTAAAAGTTGAGTAGTTCCGGAAAATCAATAAATAAACAAATGCTGTCTTAGAATGAGCAACGAATTAATCAGAATGATTTAGGAGTTCGAAGTTTATCATCGACTTTTTCGAACGGATGCAAAACGGAAGGCAGATTCTTGAATTATTATAATTTAAAACCTTTCCAAGAATAAGGTTTGCACACTGGGATATGTAATAAATAAAATTAAGGGGACTTCAGTATCAACGAATTAAAGTACAAGGGAAACCGTAAAAATCTATTATTATTCTATGAACTTCATTCATTTTATCAAAGACAATCATTTGGCTATTCCAAAAGATCGCATCTACGATTTTTTTCTCGAGACAGGTGAACGACCTTCTTGTTGTCAAGTCTAAAAAAATCTAATAATGAGGTTGATAGGCAATAACTTAGTTTTTTTTTTACAAAACAGCCAATTATTTCTTGACCCACTTTTCAAATTATGTTTTCAAACGACTCGTTTGTTTTGTGACACATTTAGTTTAGTTAAGATGCTAGATCTAGTTGATTGATTTATAGTAAGATCCAGATAGGAACAATGAAATACGGGCACTTAGTTTCTTATTTTTGTCGATTTATTTATTTATTTTATAGAAACCAACAGTGATATTTAATAATTTTAATAAGGTAATACTATTGTAAAAAAAAACAATAAGCAGGTCATAAAAAATATGACCTGCTCTGTAAAACTCGCAGTTAAAAAGTAACGCGGCAGTATATCCAGCTAAGAACGTAGAATCATCTTAAATCCACAAACCCGTCCCGGTTAAATATGATAATGAATTGACAATAACCCTAAAGATAAAACTAACAATTAATCGAATTACAAAACTCATAGGCCTGACTTAATCCCGGTCCGATGTTATCGGGAGTCGTAAAAACCCGTTGCCTTGGGGGGCTAATTAACGACCATGTTATCCCATATTACACCCAAAGTTACGGCCCTCGGGTATAATAAACATGCGTACATCGCTAACATGTGTTTTTCGGATAATTTTATTGAAAAATTTTAATTAATTGACCGATAAATGTGTCCCGTTGGCATTTTAGGGTTAGGGTTTTGATTTTTTCTCGTTTTTCGAAATTCGAACGCTTACCTCACACGGTGGTGAGCGTCACATTTTTTTTTAAAGTTCTGTGACTGGCCACGTTGAAATAATACGGCCTGTCAAGCAGAGAAAGAAAAAAGATGCTTCGTTCGAATATTTAAAAATAGAACCAGTGTAGGTTAGTTTGTTGTCTATGTGCTTACAAAATATTCTTTTTTTTTTTAAGATAACTTATTATTGTTCATTTTCATCCAGTTTGTTATTTTGGTCCTAACATTACCTTCACAGAATGAAAGAGTGTGTTAAAGAATTTAATTGATAACACTGAAAAGATCGTATCTTTCTTTCCTTACTTTAATCTCCTTCAAAAGGTGCTTAAAAATCATACTTCCTGTTATTGCTATTTATGTGTCAGAAAAGGATGAGTAATTATTAGTAATTAATTCATAACTCATCAGACATAGTCAATGTAAGATTTTAGTTTATGTTGGAACATAACTTAAGGTATAATAACATACAATAGCCTTTGCTATGCCGTTCTTCACTCATTATTTTCTTCTACGATGTAGAGCTTTCAAAAATCTCATATATCAAAACATTTTTTTAAGTTCTTAAGTATAAATTAATGAGTTGAAATAGCTGTAAAATAATGTCGTTTTCATAGCCGAGAAAATAAACAATTATTCGTATAGTTCTTGCAACTCACGAAAGGTGAATGTGCTAAACTTTTGCGTGTACGTGTACATGCACATAACGATACGGGACTATTCCCACCTCTCGTTCCCACCGCTGCAACTCCTGTGTAGCCAGGATCTACAGCTTGACCGCCAATAAAAACCCAACTAGTGAAGGTCAAGTTTGTCCCGGGGGAAAGATGAACTGTCATTGGACTTGCAACGAAATTAATAATCAGAAGAACATAGGAGGAGTTCGAAGTTAAGGTTCGACTGCACATAAAGATAGTGTAATGTTATCAAAACTTTTGAAAAACAACAGTAGCGAGCCACCACACGTGTAAAGCTCACTCGCCTTCGTGAATTGCAACAACTATGTAAAGAAAAGCCCAGCTCGTAGCGCGAAAAGCCGACGGACTCGCGTCAACTTTACGCCTAACGCAATACTCAACTAAAAATGTTTGTATTTGTTTAGTGGACTATTAAAACACTTTATAGCAAAAAAAATAAAAGAGTAATAAAAAAGTTAATTATTCTTTTATTTTTTTCCTTCTATCTCATAGGCCCAGTTTCTATTTGTTTTCCAAGTTAAATTCCTCCTTGAAGATCTAAATTCAGTGACCGGACTATATGTTTTTTATTTTTGGAAAAAAATTGACGATTTGTCGTTATAACTTTAATTATCTCTGAATAAATACAGACATTTATTACTTTTTACTTTCGGAGCATTAACCAAACAGTGCTCGCCTCCAGCAGAAAAACCAATGATTATACTTTTTACGTTCACATTCATTCAAAAAAGGAATTTGTATTGACCTTCCGTTTTATTTAATATGTAGTTTTTTAAATCAATCAGTTGCCTAAAGTGCTTATGTGAAAATTTGAGTACCTAGCCTACCTTCATCTATTTAATTGAGAGATCTTTTATTTTATAATAACAAGATTTTTTGTTTCTGCTGAACAAATTAAAAATTGCAGCAGCAGCACAAGTTGATCTACTCTCNTTGTAGGTTACTTTGTTGTCTATGAGCTTACAAATATTCTTTTTTTTTAAGATATCTTTTTGTTTATCTTCATCCACTTTCTTTTTGTCCTAAATTCTACATTCGCAGATTTATAGAGCTTGTAAAAAAATTATGTAAATTAAAAACAAAAAACAGCAAGCTCCTTTACTCAAACTCATGTGCTTAAAAAATCCGTTACTTCTTATTATTGCTATTTATGTTTCAGAAAAGAATGAGTAATTAATTCATAACTCATCAGACGTAGTCAATGTAAGATAAATTAGTTTATTTTGGAACATAACGTAAGACATAAGAACTCACAATAGCCTTTGCTATGTCGTTCTTCACTCATTATTTTCTTCTACGATGTAGAGCTTTAAAAAATATCATAAATGAAAAACATTCTCAAGTATAAATTAATGAGTTGAAATAGCTCTAAAATAATGACGTTTCTAATACCCCAGAAAATAAAAAAATATTTGTAATAGTTCTTGCAACTAACGAAGGGTTGGCGAGTGAGCTTTACTTGTGTGTGTACGTGTACATGCACATAACGATAGTGAAATGTCTATCAAAACTTTGTAACTATACTTTGTAACTGTACTGTAAAACTTTGCCGCAACCCTAACATCATTTACACATTAAGTAATAGTTTAATTTTGTCGAAGCTCTGCAATTTACTACTTTAGATCCTATCTGTGGACAATGGTGCTGGTTGCATTGTTACAAAACTTTCAAATTATTAAGATTTAGTACATAAGCCCTCAATGTAACTGTTTGTTGTCCCAGATAAAGTGAAAAAAAAAAAAAAAACTTTTGAAAAATGAACAGTAGCGAGCCACCACACGTGTAAAGCTCACTCGCCTTCGTGAATTGCAACAACTATGTATAAAGAAAAGCCCAGCTCGTAGCGCGAAAAGCCGACGGACTCGCGTCAACTTACGCCTAACGCAATACTCAACCAAAAAGGTCTTTTTAGTGGACTATTTAAAATAGTTTTTACCAAAAAAATAAAAGAGTAATAAAAAAGTTAATTATTCTTTTATTTTTTTCCTTCTGTCTCATAGGCCCAGTTTCTATTTGAGATTTTAAGTTTGGGCGTATCTTCTAATGACGTGAACTTTTAATGTTAAATTCCTTCCTGAAGATCTCAAATCAGTGACCGGGCTTTAGTTTTTTTATTTGGAAAAAAAAACGATTTGTCGTTTTAGCTTTAACTTTCTCTGAATAAATACAGACATTTTTTAACTTTTTTTTTTTCAGAGAACCAAACAGCCAGCTCCAGCAGAATAATCGTGCATTGTTTTTACTTTTACGTTCATTCATTCAAAAAAGAAATTCGTACTATTGACCTTTCGTTTTACTAATGTAGTTTTACAAATCAGTTGCCTAAAGTGCTTATGTGAAAATGTAAGTACCTACCTATATTCATCTATTTTATTGAGATCTTTTATTTTACAATATAAAAAATATGTTTCTGCTGAACAAATTAAAAATTGCAGCAGCAGCACAAGTTGATCTACTCTCATCATTTTAAAAATTTCAATTTTGCCTCTACATAATTTTATTATACTTATCGTATAGCGTGTATTTTTGTTTATTATAGACTACAATTAGCTGGTGAAATGATGACCAATCCAATGACTTAATTAAACTCTACCTGTCTCTTCTAGTAGATAGATTGCAAAATTTCAAACTTTTGCTGTTGTTTGTGAATAGCCAAAAGTTTGCCAGTCTAGCAAATTGGATAATGTGATTTTAAAAATAATTGGAAAAGTACTCGAATAATTAAAAATAATTGCCCAATAGCTCTACCATTATTAACGTTGAGTAAGTTTAACAGGTACTTATACTCTATATCTTTTGAAATACGCCCCCAGTTATTTCATCATTGCACTACCAAATTAACCAAAGCAACCTCAGGGAAATCCCCTTACTACCTACCTAGTAAGTAGTTGGTAGAGTCGCATACTTTTCTATTTATTTTCAAACTTTAGGACAGAGGCCAACCGAATGCCATCGTACAACGATCGAGAATAAAAATAAGGAAGAGCCGTCGGCCGCTCGTGCACCGCTAAATTAAGACCTGCCTCCATACAACAGCTTTAACAAGCTAAAAGCTAAAAATAACCACTCACCGCTGACGAAACTCAACCTAATTCGCTGCCAACCGTATTCTCTTTTCAAAATCCTCAAAAACAAAACACAACCTCACAAATAGAACACAAAACACAGTTCGAATTCAAAAAGCACGTTATCCGTTCTTTTTGGGTTCCAAATTTGAAAACGCGTGCGCGCGTTCCGGCGGCTAAAATGGAACTGGTTTGAATCGAACTTCCTATCTCGTTTGTGATTGGTCGGAGGTTGTTAAGGCGATGCTTGCGGCCAATGGCGTGGTGTCCCGACGCTCGCTGGCACCGCCTTGCATTGGTTGTCGTGAGAGCTCGCCATTTTTCAGGACAGTCGAACAATTGCCTCGTTATGTAGGCGGATTGGTCTAACGATTTCGGGAAACGTTTTTGTTTCGTTGCGGCCCACTTTGTTTATAGTGGACGCGAACAGCTGTTTTGGTTAAATCATTCAGCTGATTTAGAAAGGTTGATTGGACATAAAATTTTAATGGTGGTGGAACGTGAATTTTTCGAACGGGAATTACCTACTTGAAAAATGTAGCGTTCTATTTTAATTTTTATTTATTTTTAAGATTTTGTGCCTAAACTAAATGACCAATAACCAAATCTTGAAACCGGATTTTTATGGAAACTATCATGCCATGCATCTCTTTAGCGTAATTATCACAAAAGCAAATACTCCCAATGATGGCTCTACCGTTGTTGTAATTGAGTTAATAGTAATAGATAGATAATTTATCTGCTTACAAAGCAAATTTTCCTATTTCAATACTAAACAACTGAAATGTAGAGCCGAAATTTTAATATTGTCTGACTTTTTGAACTGAAAATATTTTTTGCTCAAAAGCAAAGTTATTTTTAAACGCTAGCTTATTCTTTTCCATGCAATTTTCTTGAAAAATATCTTTCAGGAAGTTCCTTTTTCATTTAGATTCTCAACTATTAAGTTCAAAAACTGTTAAACTGTGAACGAATAGAGATTCTTTATTAATCCATTAAAATTTCAAGCTCTAACAATATTAGCAGACGATCGTCCGCCGCTACGTTCATTAAAAGTCAACGATTAATGAACATTCACATGGCCACATGTTCAAATAATCTATTTCTATTTAAAAAGGAATTTGAACTACCGACAATCAAAAGAACCGTCTTTGCCCATTTTTGTCTATTCTTAAAAAACACCTTTTAAAAACAAACGCCGATTTCAGTCAAAGGAATAACATCTTTATGGCAAAGTATTAAAGTAGTCGCGACTGAAAAAATGACTTGGTATTGGAATGATAATGCCTTGAATGGCGGTCATTATACGCTTATTTGCCGCCTTTTGTCGAAATTTGAAAAGGGAACGCGCGTATTGTTCGCTGACGTTTAGTGGTAGACATCTTGTTTATAATGGCGGGAGAATGCGATGTTTTTTTAGGGGTCGAAACGACCGAGTATAAAGGTTCTTATGCCCGTTTTCACCATCAATCCCTAATTTTTAAGTGACCCCTTTGGTAGCAGATAACAGGGATTTTGTTTTCATAGGGGTCACTTAAAAATTAGGGATTGTTGGTGAAAACGGGCATTAGTAACTTTTGTCAAATATACCACATTGCATCACCACTGTTTTAGTTGCACTGCTGGCAAATAGACGGCGGGAGTTTTTTGAAAAATGTAGAGCTTCTTTAACATGTTGTTATTACAAAATAAATTCCAAATAAAAAAAGGGATATTCATGATTATGGTTTGGAAAAATGTAATAACTACCATCTCGAGATCTCTATCAAAATCATCATCTTTGTATCATCATCTCGTAGACGACTTTATAAAGTTTGTATTGCAGTAAGTAGCTTCAAACACGGATATCTGAAAATCATTTGGAAGTCTTTATTCAGTAGGATTGAGCGTCCTCTGGCTGCTATTCATGATCATCATTATCATCTGCTTTAGAAAGAAACATACCTGATGACTCCTCTTCCTTGATTAAGTCATAATAAAAGCACTCTAGGAACCCCGGAACCAAAAACCGTAGCACGAAGTAGACTAACTATGGTTGAAATAATTAAAATCATCTTCTTCTTGTCGTGTCGACAACAAATCTATACAGTGTTAGCCCAAAACTCCGCTACAAGAGTGGCGTTGTCAGTTGAAATAATATTAATGATGATCATCATCATCTAGTATAAAACAAAATACATCCACTACTGATGACACTTTAATTAAGCTACAATAAAGGCTCTACGGAACCCTGCAACAAAAACCGTAGCACCCTTATTTATCCAACCACTCAAGCTACAGTCAAGCGCCCTCAGCTCCCGGCAAACAAACAGATCGTGATAAACTGTATTGTTGAAGGATTTTAACTATTCAGTCGTTTACAGCCGACAGCACATTAAAATACCACATCGTTGTTGGAATATCGGTCTTGTTACAAGGGTATAGGTGCTACGGTTCTGCTGGACAGGCTGTACTTTTGTATTGTGGCGCCTAGGATTGGTTTAAAAAGATTAAGCACTCAGCTTAGTTTTTTAAAACAGTTTTTGCCTGCTTACTTTACTAGCTTTTGAAACTAACAACTTAAGTTCACTCATATTAATTGAATACGATCGAAGATTTCAACAAACTTTAATGAGACCAATCAAACATTACGTAATACGTGCGAATTTCTTTGTGTCACAACAAACCTACACAGCGTCAGCCCAAAACTCTTTGTTCCCAAAATTTAGAATGCTCGCGAACGCTCTATGGTAGAGTAGAGCGAACATGCCCAGAAAATTCTTCATCCTATTAAATTCACTCATGCCTTGAAGGCCATTCAAATTCTGTTCTGTTATGTTGAATATCTAAAATAGGAGCTTTTTAGAGCACTTAGTACACATCTGTGTATAGCTTGCCCTACCACCACTCCGGTACAAACAACATCGGCTGGTGCTACGAAGAAGTGGCGAAAAGTAAAGGGTCAAGTAGACTACTCGTTGCTTAAAGTCATGAGTAGCTATTTTTCAAATTTGAAAGAAAGAAAGAAAAAAACATTTATTTGGTACCAAAAGAATGGAGTACTTTTCTTTTCACAGAAAGGTAGGTATACAAAAAAGCAAGACATAGATACAAATTGTGATAATTAAGTAGTGAACAGAACTGCTTATGGCCCCTCTCACAAAATGGCACCAGCATATATCGAGACCGCCAGGGGCATAGTCGAAAATGATTTTGAGCGGTTTTTTCGTAATTTCTAAATAATTCTAATTAAATCTTAAAGTAACATGAACTTACTTGTGGCTTCGACCACAGCTTCGACTGTTGATTAAATTAACGATTAAGTAGTTAAGTCAAGTCAATATTGAAACTCCTCTACCAATTGAGTAATATTATCTAGGTATCTCTTTTGCAACTACTAAACAGCAATTCACAAACCACCTCATTACATTCATAATAATGAAATCCACTCACATCATTAATATCAATACCATGACCCACCCCATAAATCATCAAGGGTGAGCCATGGCTAACAATATGCTGAGTAATGGTTTAAATGCGATAAGTACCTACTTGTTCCCCCATGGTTTATTAGAGTCCTTATTATGCATGGTGTGCGGGAAAATGGAGCAATCCTATGATCGTGAAAGAGAGGCACTTTATAAAAAAAATAATTTTAGTCCGTGAAAGTACGATTAACAGAGGTTGGCCTATGTTCAGGCAGCAGTGGACGTTTTGCGGCTGAAATGATGATTATGATGAAAAGCTGAGTATATTAGAGCCTGTAAATAAACTCTGTCTGATCAGAAAGATCCATTGAAAACCCAAAAAAGAACCTGAGTCAGCGTCTCGGTCGGAACTTCTTCTAAGCACTTTTTTTATAATTTTTCTTTCTTTTCTTACTTTCTTTCACTTGCCACATGATCCAGTGATCTTCAAGTAACGCTATCACGGGACTACTTATTCCCACCTCTCGTTCCCACCGCTGAAGCTCCTGTGTAGCCAGGCTCTACAGCTTGCCCGCCAATAAAACCCAACCAGTGAAGGCCAAGTTACGCTAACAGAGATTAAAATATTTTTTTGCAATGTCATCATCATCATTTCAGCCATAGGACGTCCACTGCTGAACATAGGCCTCCCCCAATGACTTCCACATCGCACGGTTGGTAGCGGCCTGCATCCAGCGCCTTCCTGCTACCTTTATCAGGTCGTCGTCGGTCCACCTTGTGGGTCCAACGCTGCGTTTTCCGGTATGCGGCCTCCATTCCAGAACCTTGCTACAGAAGCTTTGCAATGTATGGGCTGCAAAATAGTGATCGGTGATATTGCAACTATTGCAGATACTGCAACACATGGCCCGGCCATAGAATGCTTAGAAGGCAGTACTTATAATATTATGTTTGTGGTGGCTTACTCGCCAAAAGTGCAGCTGCATTGCGATTTTTGCGATAATTAATTACTCATTTAGCCATATTAGATTTTTGTAATAAACAAAAATTTCACGATTCTTCTTCTTCTTTTCGTGTCGACAACAAACCTACACAGTGTCAGCCCAAAACTCCTGCACTACACTAGCACTCATCAAATCCTCCTAAGTGCAGTTGCTTGGGCACTCAGGGCACGACATCAGGTGCTTCATCGACTGTTCAAGCCATCCAAGAATCCCCACCTGACCAGATTGTCCTTACTACGGCCAACCAATTTCACGATTTATAATACCACAGTCATTTGGCAGGTAACTCCATTATTTTGTACCAATGACTGGACTATCTTACTGATTTTAATGAACTAAAGTTTAGTTCTAAACAAATTAGGCATCTACCAAACAACAAAAAACAATTCGATCTCTATTTGTGAATGTTCATTTTAAAAAATATGATGTCCAATATTCACAGATAATTTATGTCGAAAAAACCATTACCTACCCATTTTCGCCCCTTTATGGTCCCCATATAAAGCTCAGCCCTTGACTCTATCATAAGGGCGTGCGCAAAAACACAATGACTTGTTATCGCCATAGAATTACACCATAGAATGCCCCATGTTATTTATTTGTGCAAAAAGTTTGACNAAAATGATGTGACGTGAGGTGCCAAACTGCGGAAAATGGCGGAGGAAATACATGAATTAGCACATTTATTTGCATATTATTTGCACATTTACATATTATTAACTACATACTTACTTCTCAGTGTCTTGAGGCAACTTAAAAAA